GCCGGCATTTCGCACTCATAGTGCAGGTGGGGCCAGGAAGAACGGAAACGCTCATTTCTCAAAAAGTAGAGGGAATCTAACGGTCTCACTCTATCAAAAGGTGGGAAATATATAAATCTAGTCAGCTAAAAAGGTTTGAAATGTATTCAACGCACATGTATAGAGAAAATGGTGCATTGGCCAGGTCGGTCAGTATCGGAACTTAAAATGCAAATGCCAGGGAGAACGGAAGCGCTCAGATCTCGCATAGTACACGGAATCAAGTGGTCTCACTCAAATAGAAAGTAGGAAATATATTCATCTAGTGAACGTAAGGGTTTGAAAGGTAACTAACGCACATGTGTAGAGAAAATGGTGCATCGGCCAGTCTAGCCGGCATTTCGCACTCATAATGCAGGTGGGGCCAGGGAGAACGGAAACGCTCGTTTCTCAAAAAGTAGAGGGAATCTAACGGTCTCACTCGATCAGAAGGTGGGAAATATATAAATCTAGTCAGCTAAAAAGGTTTGAAATGTATTCAACGCAAATGTATAGAGAAAATGGTGCATTGGCCAGGTCGGTCAGTATCGGAACTTAAAATGCAAATGCCAGGGAGAACGGAAGCGCTCAGATCTCGCATAGTACACGGAATCAAGTGGTCTCACTCAAATAGAAAGTAGGGAAGGGTTTGAGAGGTAACTAACGCACATGTGTAGAGAAAATTGTGCATCGGCCAGTCTGGCCGGCATTTCGCACTTATAGTGCAACTAGGGCCAAGGAGAACGGAAACGCTCATTTCTCAAAAAGTAGAGGGAATCTAGCAGTCTCACTCGATCAGAAGGTGGGAAATATATAAAACTAGTGAGCTAATAAGGATCGAAAGGAATCTAATGCATATGTATATGGAAAATGGTGCATTGGCCAGGTCGGTCAGTATGGGAACTTAGAGTGCAAATGCCAGGGAGAACGGAAGCGCTCAGATCTCGCATAGTACACGGAATCTAGTTGTCTCACTCAAATATAAGGTAGGAAATAACTTCATCTAGTGAACGTAAGGGTTTGAAAGGTAACTAACGCACATGTGTAGAGAAAATGGTGCATCGGCCAGTCTGGCCGGCATTTCGCACTTATAGTGCAAGTAGGGCCAAGGAGAACGGAAACGCTCATTTCTCAAAAGTAAAGGGAATCTAGCGGTCTCACTCGATCAGAAGGTGGGAAATATATAAATCTAGTGAGCTAATAAGGTTCGAAAGGAATCTAATGCATATGTATATGGAAAATGGTGCATTGGCCAGGTCGGTCAGTATGGGAACTTAGAGTGCAAATGCTAGGGAGAACGGAAGCGCTCAGATCTCGCATAATACATGGAATCTAGTGGTCTCACTCAAATATAAGGTAGGAAATATATTCCTCTAGTGAACGTAAGGGTTTGAAAAGGTAACTAACGCACATGTGTAGAGAAAATGGTGCATCGGCCAGTCTGGCCGCCATTTCGCACTCATAGTGCAGGTGGGGCCAGGGAGAACGGAAACGCTCGTTTCTCAAAAAGTAGAGGGAATCTAACGATCTCACTCGATCAGAAGGTGGGAAATATATATATCTAGTCAGCTAAAAAGATTTAAAATGTATTCAACGCACATGTGTATGGGCATTGGCCAGGTCGGTCAGTATCGGAACTTAAAATGCAAATGCCAGGGAGAACGGAAGCGCTCAGATCTCGCATAGTACACGGAATCAAGTGGTCTCACTCAAATAGAAAGTAGGAAATATATTCATCTAGTGAACGTAAGGGTTTGAAAGGTAACTAACGCACATGTGTAGAGAAAATTGTGCATCGGCGAGTGTGGCCGGCATTTCGCACTTATAGTGCAACTAGGGCCAAGGAGAACGGAAACACTCATTTCTCAAAAAGTAGAGGGAATCTAGCGGTCTCACTCGATCACAAGGTGGGAAATATATAAATCTAGTGAGCTAATAAGGTTCGAAAGGAATCTAATGCATATGTATATGGAAAAAGGTGCATTGGCCAGGTCGGTCAGTATGGGAACTTAGAGTGCAAATGCCAGGGAGAACGGAAGCGCTCAGATCTCGCATAGTACACGGAATCTAGTGGTCTCACTCAAATTAAAGGTAGGAAATAAATTCATCTAGTGAACGTAAGGGTTTGAAAAGTAACTAACGCACATGTGTAGAGAAAATGGTGCATCGGCCAGTCTGGCCGGCATTTCGCACTTATAGTGCAACTAGGGCCAGGGAGAACGGAATCGCTCATTTCTCAAAAAGTAGAGGGAATCTAGCGGTCTCACTCGATCAAAACGTGGGAAATATATAAATATAGTGAGCTAATAAGATTCGAAAGGAATCTAATGCATATGTATATGGAAAATGGTGCAATGGCCAGGTCGGTCAGTATGGGAACTTAGAGTGCAAATGCCAGGGAGAACGGAAGCGCTCAGATCTCGCATAGTACACGGAATCTAGTGGTCTCACTCAAATAGAAGGTAGGAAATAAATTCATCTAGTGAACGTAAGGGTTTGAAAAGTAACTAACGCACATGTGTAGAGAAAATGGTGCATCGGCCAGTCTGGCCGGCATTTCGCACTTATAGTGCAAGTAGGGCCAAGGAGAACGGAAACGCTCATTTCTCAAAAACTAAAGGGAATCTAGCGGTCTCACTCGATCAGAAGGTGGGAAATATATAAATCTAGTGAGCTAATAAGGTTCGGAAGAAATCTAATGCATATGTATATGGAAAGTGGTGCATTGGCCATGTCGGTCAGTATGGGAACTTAGAGTGCAAATGCCTGGGAGAACGGAACCGCTCAGATCTCGCATAATACACGGAATCTAGTGGTCTCACTCAAATATAAGGTAGGAAATATATTCATCTAGTGAACGTAAGGGTTTGAAAGGTAACTAACGCACATGTGTAGAGAAAATGGTGCATCGGCGAGTCTGGCCGGCATTTCGCACTTACAGTGCAACTAGGGCCAAGGAGAACGGAAACGCTCATTTCTCAAAAAGTAAAGGGAATCTAGCGGTCTCACTCGATCACAAGGTGGGAAATATATAAATCTAGTGAGCTAATAAGGTTCGAAAGGAATTTAATGCATATGTATATGGAAAATGGTGCGTTGGCCAGGTCGGTCAGTATGGGAACTTAGAGTGCAAATGCCAGGGAGAACGGAAGCGCTCAGATCTCGCATAGCACACGGAATCTAGTGGTCTCACTCAAATAAAAGGTAGGAAATAAATTCATCTAGTGAACGTAAGGGTTTGAAAGGTAACTAACGCACATGTGTAGAGGAAATGGTGCATCGGCCAGTCTGGCCGGCATTTCGCACTTATAGTGCAAGTAGGGTCAAGGAGAACGGAAACGCTCATTTCTCAAAAAATAAAGGGAATCTAACCGTCTCACTCGATCAAAAGGTGGGAAATATATAGATCTAGTGAGCTAATAAGGTTCGAAAGGAATCTAATGCATATGTATATGGAAAGTGGTGCATTGGCCAGGTCGGTCAGTATGGGAACTTAGAGTGCAAATGCCTGGGAGAACGGAACCGCTCAGATCTCGCATAATACACGAAATCTAGTGGTCTCACTCAAATATAAGGTAGGAAATAAATTCATCTAGTGAACGTAAGGGTTTGAAAGGTAACTAACGCACATGTGTAGGAAAATGGTGCATCGGCCAGTCTGGCCGGCATTTCGCACTTATAGTGCAAGTAGGGCCAAGGAGAACGGAAACGCTCATTTCTCAAAAAGTAGAGGGAATCTAGCGGTCTCACTCGATCAGAAGGTGGGAAATATATAAATCTAGTGAGCTAATAAGGTTCGAAAGGAATCATATGCATATGTATATGGAAAGTGGTGCATTGGCCAGGTCGGTCAGCATGGGAACTTAGAGTGCAAATGCGAGGGAGAACGGAAGCGCTCAGATCTCGCATAGTACACGGAATCTAGTGGTCTCACTCAAATAGAAGGTAGGAAATAAATTCATCTAGTGAACGTACGGGTTTGAAAGGTAACTAATGTCAGAGTATTATAACTGATGCATGTTTGTAGGCTATAGTGGGGTAGCACATATGGGGTACAGCTTTCTATGGTTGTATTTGTACCCAACTCTGACTTAGTCATTTCATTCCTGTTCTCTTATCTTTCACATGGTATAGAGCGGGTCCTTCCTAAGGACCGTTTTTTTTTTAGGGCCCACCGAAGCGCGCCCCGAGGCGCGCATTTTTTTTTTCGCGACCCTTCGGGTCGCCATTACTCTCGCGGCCCCGCTGTCCCTCTGACGCGGCCCCGCCACCTCTGCTTGACGTGGCCCCGCCGCCTCCTCTGCAGCGGCTCCGCCGCCTCCTCTGACGCGGCCCCGCCGCCCGCTGATGGCGGGCATTTTTTCGCTTTTTTTTTTCGCGACCCTTCGTGACGGCCCCGCCGTCCCTTCCTGCCTGCCCCGCCGTCCACTCCTGACGGCCCCGCCGTCCCCTCCTGACGGCTCCTGCCGTCCCCTTCTACCGGCCCCGCAACTGCACCTGCAGGCCCCGCCGCTGCACCTACCGGCCCCCACCAACCCCCCCCCCCCCCCTTTTCCCGTCGCCTGTCGAGGCGACCTGAGGGGGCCGGTATGTGGCCTCCCCTGCTTCTCCTCCTCCTTCATCTCCCGCTGCAGCAGCCGAGCCGCTCACCTGCAGCAGCCGAGCCGCCCTGCCGCCGAGCTGCCGGGTCGCTGAGCTGCTGAGCTGCAGTTGCTGCCGATCTGCCCTGCCGCCGAGCCGCCGAGTCTCCGAGCTGCTGAGCTGCAGTTGCTGCCGAGCCGCCTTGCCGCCGAGCCGCCCGCGTCGCCCGAGCCGCAGAGCCGCCGAGCTGCCGAGCCGCTGAGTCGCCGAGCCTACTCTTCCCACCACTGGTGAGCTCTTGCCCTGCTAGCACACTGCGCGTCGCCTGCCTGCCTTTTGGCTTACCTGGCTGCCTGCCTTCCTGCTGCTAGTCCTGCTCCTGCTTCTACTTGCGGAGCCAGATGCAGCCCCAGCGACGCCTGCGTGAGTCCCTCACGCCCCAGCAGCTGCGTGAGTGGTACGCTGGTTGGGGCTGTAGGGGTGGCGGCACTACTCCTACTACCACTCCTGCTGCTTCTACTCGTGGTGGCGGCCAGATGCAGCTCCCGCGACCCTCTCGCGTGTCTCTCACGCCTCGCCAGCTTCGTGAGTGGTACGCTCAGAGTGGAGGGTCTCTCAGTGCTGTTCGCTGCTCTTACGTGATTCGCACTGGTACTCGGACTGGTCAGCCTTGTGGGACACCTAGTCATACATAGTCCCGCTGCTTCGCCCGTCTGAGCGACGCCTGGCGTACCGTGTTTGGCGACGAGGCTGAGCTTCCCGACTGGGTGGAGTTGCTTAGGCAGAGGGTAGATATATATGCTCTTGACTATGATGCTATTCTCACTGCCATGTATGCATTGCATACTAGTGCTGACCGTGCCGGTCACCTGTGCGTTCCGCCTGACCCAGGTATAGGACCTGCTGCTCTAGCTACTGGTGAGGCTGCTGCTCTGGGTGCTAGTGAGTCTCCTGCTCCAGGTACAGGTGCGGCTGCTGCTCTAGGTGCTAGTGAGTCTGCTTCCTCAGGTGCGGGTGAGGCTGCGCTCTCAGGTACCGCGTTGGCTTCGGCCTCCCTCACCTTTACACTTGACTCTGGGGCTTCTCGCTCCTTCTTTCGGGACCGCACCACACTCACGCCGCTTGGTCGGCCGGTTGCAGTCTCCCTGGCTGACCCCTCTGGGGGTCCTGTCCTCGCTCACTTTTCCACTGTCCTCCCGTGTCCGGCTGCCCCCTCGGGCACCCTGTCTGGCCTGTACCTCCCCTCGTTCTCGACGAACTTGGTGAGTGGTGCAGACCTACAGGATGCGGGGGTTCACCAGTTCACTCCTGCGAGTCAGCGGGTGACCCACTGCACGGACGCCCGCACAGGCCGGCACCTGGCCACGTTCTCGCGTCGGCCGGGGTCGAGCCTCTACACCCTGACCACTGAGTCTCCTCCTGTCCCCGCGTTCGGTCAGGTAGCAGCGTCGGGTCAGGTGTTTGCTGCTGCGTCCAGGTCTGGTCCTGAGTCTGCCCCCTGTTCGTGTCGCCTCCTGTCTCACGAGACTCTCCTGTGGCACCACCGTCTAGGCCACCCCTCCTTGCCCCGTCTTCGGGGCATGGCTTCCCGTGTCCTTGTCTCTGGTCTTCCCCAGTCTCTCCCTCCCCTTCCTTCGGGAACAGGACCTTCCTGTGTCCCCTGTGTCGAGGGGCGCCTCAGGGCTGCTCCTCACTCCTCCCAGTTTCCCCCGACAGAGGCTCCTCTACAGACGCTTCACATGGACGTGTGGGGCCCGGCCCCCGTCCGTGGGCAGGGTCACGAGCGCTACTTCCTGTTGGTGGTTGACAACTACTCGCGTTACACCTCAGTCTTCCCCTTGCGCAGCAAGGGTGCTGTCACTGAGGTGCTGATCGCCTGGATCCGCGAGGCTCGTCTCCAGCTCAGGAGGAGCTTCGGCTCGGACTTTCCTGTTCTGCGTCTGCACTCTGACCGAGGTGGGGAGTTCTCCTCTCGCCTTCTGCGAGACTACTGTCATGCACAGGGGATCCGCCAGACCTTTACGCTTCCGGACTCTCCACAGCAAAATGGGATTGCTGAGCGCCGCATTGGCATGGTCATGGATGTCGCTCGTACGTCCATGATGCATGCGGCTGCCCCCCATTTTCTGTGGCCGTTTGCGGTTCGATACGCGGCGCATCAGCTCAACCTTCACCCCAGGGTCTCTCGGCCCGCGATGTCCCCAGTGTTACTGTGGACGGGGAAGGTCGGCGATGCGTCTGCGTTCCGTGTCTGGGGATCTCGGGCGTTTGTCCGCGACTTGTCTGCGGACAAGCTGTCCCCCCGTGCTGCTCCCTGTGTCTTCCTTGGCTTCCCCCCTGACGCTCCAGGGTGGCAGTTCTACCACCCCTCCTCTCGTCGTGTTCTATCCTCCCAGGACGTCACGTTCGACGAGTCAGTCCCCTTCTACCGCCTCTTCCCCTACCGTACTCCTTCCCTCCCCCCCCCACCGGACTTCCTGGTACCAGTTCCCCCCCCGCTAGACCCCCTCCTCCCTCAGGTTCCTGCCCCTTCAGGTGTGTCCCAGGTAGACACAGTCGAGCCAGTCGAGGTTGCTGCTGAGTCTGGTCCTGCTGCGGGTGCTGAGCCTGGGGGTGCTGCTGCTGGGGGTGCTGAGCCAGGGGGTGCGAGGCCGGGGGGTGCTGAGTCTGGGGGTGCTGGGCCTGGAGGTCCGTAGCCTGTGCCTGCTGGACCTGGGGGCTCTCCGGTTATTCCGTCTCGGCGGGAGCCGCTCTCTCCACAGGAGCTGCGCGAGTGGTTTGCTCGCCGCTGGAGGCGTGCTGCTGGAGCTGGAGCTTCTTCGTCTGCTGAGGGTGCTGGTGCAGCCGGTCCCGGAGCTGCTGAGCCTGCGGGTCCTACTGGAGCTGGAGCTACTGAGCCTGGGGGTGCTGAGTCTGGAGCTGCTGAGCCTGGAGGTGCTGAGTCTGGAGCTGCTGAGCCTGGGGGTGCTACGTCTGGAGCTGCTGTGCCTGGGGGTGCTGCGTCTGGAGCTGCTGAGCCTGGGGTTTCTCCTGCTGCTGCGTCTCGCCGGGAGCCCCTCTCTCCACAGGAGCTGCGCGAGTGGTTTGCTCGCCGCTGGAGGCGTGCTGCTGGAGCTGGAGCTTCGTCCACCGTCGAGGGTGCTGGTGCTGCCGGTCCCGGAGCTGCTGGGCCTGCGGGTCCTACTGGAGCTGGAGCTGCTGAGGGTGTTGGTGCTGGGACTACTGCTGTCTGTCCTGGCGGTGGTTCTCCTGCTGGTGCTGCTGGAGGTCCTGCCGCTGGAGGTGTTGGTGGCGCTGGTGCTGTCGCTGAGGGTGCTGGTGCTGTCCCTGCTGAGTCTGGAGCTGCCGCGCGGCCTCGGCCGTACTTCGTTCCGCTCCTACAGCAGGTTCTTGGTCTTTCTCCTTCGGTAGAGTGTCCACAGCCTGTCCAGTCGCAGTCACTGTTGGAGCCTTCCTCTCCTCTGCCTACTCCCTCCCCTTACACTGGTCCTACTGGAGGTCTTGCTAAGCGTCGTGAGCCTGCGTCTCGTCCCACGGCGCCGGTTCGTGCTGCTCGCGCTAGTGGTCGCGGTTCGCGTCAGCGTCCTCTTCCTGTCCCTGGCACGCACCGGATGTCTCTGCGTCCGTCCACTGCTCCTCTGCGTGCCCCTTTGCCTTCTCCTCCTGAGTCCTCTCTTCCTGCGCTTGCCGACCCTGAGTCGGACTCTCTTCGTGCTGCCAGTCCTACTGTCACGCGTCTGCTTGCTACTGTCGTCACTGACCCCTCTTTTGAGTCCACTGCTGCGTCTGCTCTTGTCGCTGAGCTCGTCGACTTTGCTGCTCGCTGCCGTCTAGACTACGCTGCTAGTCTTGTTGCTGAGTCTGCGTCTGTCTGTCCTCCGTCCGTCGGGGGTGAGTGTGCTCTTGGCACGGACGTCCTAGAGGACAGGCAGGAGGAGTTACAGTGTCTGGCTGCTGCTTCACCTCATCTCGCGTCTGTACTGCTTGCTCCTGAGGGAGACCCGGATGCACTAGACATCCCGACTCCGCGCTCTTACGCGGAGGCCGTAGAGGGTCCCTACTCCTCTCGGTGGCAGGCAGCTATGGATGCAGAGATGGCTTCCTGGAAGTCCACAGGCACCTACGTTGACGCAGTTCCCCCTCCTGGGGCGAACATCGTCAGTGGCATGTGGATCTTCAGGATGAAGCGGCCGCCGGGCTCTCCACCTGTCTTCAAGGCGCGGTACGTTGCTCGTGGCTTCAGTCAGCGGCAGGGAGTTGACTACTTTCAGACCTTCTCTCCCACCCCGAAGATGACCACTCTTTGGGTGCTGCTGCACATAGCCGCTCAGCGCGACTACGAGCTTCACTCTCTCGACTTCAGCACTGCGTTCTTGCAGGGTAGCCTGCACAAGGAGATCTGGCTGCGCCGTCCGCCTGGCTTCACTGGGACTTTCCCTCCTGGCACCCAGTGGAGCCTCCGACGGCCAGTCTACGGTCTCCGCCAGGCACCGCGTGAGTGGCACGACACACTGAGGACTACGCTTGCGGCTCTTGGGTTTGCTCCCTCTACTGCTGACCCGTCGCTGTTTCTGCGCACCGACACTTCACTGCCGCCGTTCTACATCCTCGTGTACGTCGACGACTTGGTCTTTGCCACAGCGGACACTGCTGGACTCGCCTACGTGAAGTCCGAGCTGCTGAAGAGACACACGTGCACAGACCTGGGTGAACTGCGCAGCTACCTTGGCTTGCAGATCACTCGGGACAGAGCACGCCGCACCATTACCTTGACTCAGTCACACATGGTGCAGCAGGTCCTTCAGCGCTTCGGCTTCACGTACTCCTCGCCTCAGGCCACTCCTCTGCCTACTCGCCACTCACTCTCAGCTCTGCCTTCGGATGAGTCCGTAGAGTCGAGTGGTCCGTATGCAGAGCTTGTTGGCTGCCTCATGTACCTGATGACCTGCACACGACCTGACCTTGCATACCCTCTGAGCATTCTTGCACGCTATGTTGCTCCTGGGAGACACCGACCAGAGCACATGGCAGCAGCGAAGAGGGTATTGCGCTACCTGTGCAGTACGTCGGGCATGGGGCTAGTGCTTGGAGGGCGGAGTCCAGTGGTCCTTACAGGCCACGCGGACGCTTCTTGGGCTGACGACCAGGCTACGCAGCGGTCGTCACAGGGTTACACCTTCAGCCTTGGTTCCGGCTCTGTCTCGTGGCGGTCTACTCGCTCGTCTTCAGTTCTCCGCTCCAGTTGTGAGGCTGAGATCTACGCCGGGGCCATGGCTGCACAGGAGCTTCGCTGGCTCACCTACCTGCTGACTGACCTTGGAGAGCCGCCTCGTTCTCCTCCAGTGCTATACGTAGACAACAAGGCCATGCTGGCCTTGTGTCGAGAGCAGTGCTTGGAGCACAGAACGAAGCACATTGCTCTCCGCTACTTCCTTGCTCATGAGCTGCAGCAGCGTGGTCAGTTGCGACTTGCGTACGTGGCCTCTGAGGCCAACACTGCTGATGTGTTCACCAAGGCACTCGCGCCTTGTGACCATCAGCGCTTTTGCACCCAGCTGGGTCTTGTGCCTGTCTTGCCTCACTTGCTCTCCTCTTGACTTCACTTGTACTGTGACATATATATATATACCTGCTCTTGCTTGTCTAGTTTTATATATATGTCTGTCCTCCTGCATGTGAACTGGCCTCTGGCCTTGCTCTTGTGCTCGGACTGTGTGGTGACTTTGTGATCCACCCTTAGCTTGCTTTACTTTGCTTTGCTTGACTGGTCTTGTGACCCCTTGTTCTCCCCCACTTTGCCTATGGGGGTGTGTAAGAGTATTATAACCGATGCATGTTTGTAGGCTATAGTGGGGTAGCACATATGGGGTAGAGCTTTCTAGGGTTGTATTTGTACCCAACTCTGACTTAGTCATTTCATTCCTGTTCTCTTATCTTTCACAACTAACGCACATGTGTAGAGAAAATGGTGCATCGGCCAGTCTGGCCGGCATTTCGCACTTATAGTGCAAGTAGGGCCAAGGAGAACGGAAACGCTCATTTCTCAAAAAGTAAAGGGAATCTAGTGGTCTCACTCGATCAGAAGGTGGGAAATATATAAATCTAGTGAGCTAATAAGGTTCGAAAGGAATCTAATGCATATGTATATGGAAAATGGTGCATTGGCCAGGTCGGTCAGTATGGGAACTTAGAGTGCAAATGCAAGGGAGAACGGAAGCGCTCAGATCTCGCATAGTACACGGAATCTAGTGGTCTCACTCAAATAGAAGGTAGGAAATAAATTCATCTAGTGAACGTTAGGGTTTGAAAGGTAACTAACGCACATGTGTAGAGAAAATGGTGCATCGGCCAGTCTGGCCGGCATTTCGCACTCATAGTGCAAGTAGGGCCAAGGAGAACAGAAACGCTCATTTCTCAAAAAGTAAAGGGAATCTAACGGTCTCACGTTATCGGAAGGTGGGAAATATATAAATCTAGTGAGCTAATAAGGTTTGGAAGCAATCTAATGCATATGTATGTGGAAAGTGGTGCATTGGCCAGGTCGGTCAGTATGGGAACTTAGAGTGCAAATGCCTGGGAGAACGGAAGCGCTCAGATCTCGCATAGTACACGGAATCTAGTGGTCTCACTCAAATAGAAGGTAGGAAATAAATTCATCTAGTGAACGTAAGGGTTTGAAAGGTAACTAACGCACATGTGTAGAGAAAATGGTGCATCGGCCAGTCTGGCCGGCATTTCGCACTTATAGTGCAAGTAGGGCCAAGGAGAACGGAAACGCTCATTTCTCAAAAAGTAAAGGGAATCTAGTGGTCTCACTCAATCAGAAGGTGGGAAATATATAAATCTAGTGAGCTAATAAGGTTTGAAAGGAATCTAATGCATATGTATATGGAAAATGGTGCATTGGCCAGGTCGGTCAGTATGGGAACTTAGAGTGCAAATGCAAGGGAGAACGGAAGCGCTCAGATCTCGCATAGTACACGGAATCTAGTGGTCTCACTCAAATAGAATGTAGGAGATAAATTCATCTAGTGAACGTAAGGGTTTGAAAGGTAACTAACGCACATGTGTAGAGAAAATGGTGCATCGGCCAGTCTGGCTGGCATTTCGCACTTATAGTGCAAGTAGGGCCAAGGAGAACGGAAACGCTCATTTCTCAAAAAGTAGAGGGAATCTAGCAGTCTCACTCGATCAGAAGGTGGGAAATATATAAATCTAGTGAGCTAATAAGGTTTGAAAGGAATATAATGCATATGTTTATGGAAAATGGTGCATTGGCCAGGTCGGTCAGTATGGGAACTTGGAGTGCAAATGCCTCGGAGAACGGAACCGCTCAGATCTCGCATAATACACGGAATCTAGTGGTCTCACTCAAATATAAGGTAGGAAATTCATTCATCCAGTGAACGTAAGGGTTTGAAAGGTAACTAACGTAGATGTGTAGAGAAAATGGTGCATCGGCCAGTCTGGCCGGCATTTCGCACTCATAGTGCAGGTGGGGCCAGGGAGAACGGAAACGCTCGTTTCTCAAAAAGTAGAGGGAATCTAACGGTCTCACTTGATCAGAAGGTGGGAAATATATAAATCTAGTCAGCTAAAAAGGTTTGAAATGTATTCAACGCACATGTATAGAGAAAATGGTGCATTGGCCAGGTCGGTCAGTATCGGAACTTAAAATGCAAATGCTAGGGAGAACGGAAGCGCTCAGATCTCACATAGTACACGGAATCAAGTGGTCTCACTCAAATAGAAAGTAGGAAATATATTCATCTAGTGAACGTAAGGGTTTGAAAGGTAACTAACGCACATGTGTAGAGAAAATTGTGCATCGGCCAGTCATGCCGGCATTTCGCACTTATAGTGCAACTAGGGCCAAGGAGAACGGAAACGCTCATTTCTCAAAAAGTAGAGGGAATCTAGCGGTCTCACTCGATCAGAAGGTGGGAAATATATTTATCTAGTGAGCTAATACGGTTCGAAAGGAATCTAATGCATATGTATATGGAAAATGGTGCATTGGCCAGGTCGGTCTGTGAGAATAAACGGACAGGAATGAATGAACTAGCAGTGAAATGAGTACAAGTAGGAAACCCTAGAATTGTGTACCCCCTATAGGCTAACCGACTGTAGCCTACACAAGCATAACATATATAATGTTTGACACACCCCCATAGGCAAAGTGGGGGAGAACAAGGGGTCACAAGACCAGTCAAGGAAAGCAAAGCAAGCTCAGGGTGGATCACAAAGTCACCACACAGTCCGAGCACAAGAGCAGGGCCAGAGGCCAGTTCACATGCAGGAGGACAGACATATATATAAAACTAGACAAGCAAGAGCAGGTATATATATATGTCACAGTACAAGTGAAGTCAAGAGGAGAGCAAGTGAGGCAAGACAGGCACAAGACCCAGCTGGGTGCAAAAGCGCTGATGGTCACAAGGCGCGAGTGCCTTGTTGAACACATCAGCAGTGTTGGCCTCAGAGGCCACGTACGCAAGTCGCAACTGACCACGCTGCTGCAGCTCACGAGCAAGGAAGTAGCGGAGAGCAATGTGCTTCGTTCTGTGCTCCAAGCGCTGCTCTCGACACAAGGCCAGCATGGCCTTGTTGTCTACGTACAGCACTGGAGGAGAACGAGGCGGCTCTCCAAGGTCAGTCAGCAGGTAGGTGAGCCAGCGAAGCTCCTGTGCAGCCATGGCCCCGGCGTAGATCTCGGCCTCACAACTGGAGCCGAGAACTGAAGACGAGCGAGTAGACCGCCACGAGACAAAGCCGGAACCAAGGCTGAAGGTGTAACCCTGTGACGACCGCTGCGTAGCCTGGTCGTCAGCCCAAGAAGCGTCCGCGTGACCAGTGAGGACCACTGGACTCCGCCCTCCAAGCACTAGCCCCATGCCCGGCGTACTGCACAGGTAGCGCAATACCCTCTTCGCTGCAGCCATGTGCTCTGGTCGGTGTCTCCCAGGAGCAACATAGCGTGCAAGAATGCTCAGAGGGTATGCAAGGTCAGGTCGTGTGCAGGTCATCAGGTACATGAGGCAGCCAACAAGCTCTGCATACGGACCACTCGACTCTACGGACTCATCCGAAGGCAGAGCTGAGAGTGAGTGGCGAGTAGGCAGAGGAGTGGCCTGAGGCGAGGAGTACGTGAAGCCGAAGCGCTGAAGGACCTGCTGCACCATGTGTGACTGAGTCAAGGTAATGGTGCGGCGTGCTCTGTCCCGAGTGATCTGCAAGCCAAGGTAGCTGCGCAGTTCACCCAGGTCTGTGCACGTGTGTCTCTTCAGCAGCTCGGACTTCACGTAGGCGAGTCCAGCAGTGTCCGCTGTGGCAAAGACCAAGTCGTCGACGTACACGAGGATGTAGAACTGCGGCAGGGAAGTGTCGGTGCGAAGAAACAGCGACGGGTCAGCAGTAGAAGGAGCAAACCCAAGAGCCGCAAGCGTAGTCCTCAGTGTGTCGTGCCACTCACGCGGTGCCTGGCGGAGACCGTAGACTGGCCGTCGGAGGCTCCACTGGGTGCCAGGAGGGAAAGTCCCAGTGAAGCCAGGCGGACGGCGCAGCCAGATCTCCTCGTGCAGGCTACCCTGCAGAAACGCAGTGCTGAAGTCGAGAGAGTGAAGCTCGTAGTCGCGCCGAGCGGCTATGTGCAGCAGCACCCGAAGAGTAGTCATCTTCGGGGTGGGAGAGAAGGTCTGAAAGTAGTCAACTCCCTGCCGCTGTCTGAAGCCACGAGCAACGTACTGTGCCTTGAAGACACGTGGAGAGCCCGGCGGCCGCTTCACCCTGAAGATCCACATGCCACTGACGATGTTCGCCCCAGGAGGGGGAACTGCGTCAACGTAGGTGCCTGTGGACTTCCAGGAAGCCATCTCTGCATCCATAGCTGCCTGCCACTGAGAGGAGTAGGGACCCTCTACGGCCTCCGCGTAAGAACGCGGAGTCGGGATGTCTAGTGCATCCGGGTCTCCCTCAGGGGCAAGCAGTACAGACGCGAGATGAGGTGAAGCAGCCGCTAGACACTGTAACTCCTCCTGCCTGTCCTCTAGGACGTCCGTGCCAAGAGCACACTCACCCCCGACGGACGGAGGACAGGCAGACGCAGACTCAGCCACAAGACTAGCAGCGTAGTCGAGACGACAGCGAGCAGCAAAGTCGACGAGCTCAGCGACTAGAGCAGACGCAGCAGTGGACTCAAAAGAGGGGTCAGTGACGACAGTAGCAAGCAGACGCGTGACAGTAGGACTGGCAGCACGAAGAGAGTCCGACTCAGGGTCGGCAAGCGCAGGAAGAGAGGACTCAGGAGGAGAAGGCAAAGGGGCACGCAGAGGAGCAGTGGCCAGACGCAAAGACATCCGGTGCGTGCAAGGGACAGGAGGAGGACGCTGACGCGAACTGCGACCACTAGCGCGAGCAGCACGAACAGGCGACGCGGGACGAGACGCAGGCTCACGACGCTCAGCAAGACCTCCAGTAGGACCAGTGTAAGGAGAGGGAGCAGGCCGTGGAGAGGAAGGCTCCAGCAGGGACTGCGACTGGACAGGCGGTGGACCCTCTAGTGGAGGAGAAAGACCAAGAACCTGCTGCAGGAGCGGAACGAAGTACGGCCGAGGCCGCGCGGCAGCTCCAGACTCAGAAGGGACAGCACCAGCACCCTCAGCGACAGCACCAGCGCCACCCACACCTCCAGCGGCAGGACCAACAGTAGTAGGCTCAGCACCAACGCCCTTAGCAGCTCCAGCTCCAGGAGGACCCGCAGGTCCAGCAGCTCCGGGACCGGCAGCACCCGCACCCTCGACGGTCGAAGAAGCTCCAGCTCCAGCTCCAGCAGCACCTCCAGACTCAGCAGCACGCCTCCAGCGGCGAGCGAACCACTCGCGCAGCTCCTGTGGAGAGAGGGGCTCCCGGCGAGACACAGCAGCAGGAGAAACCCCAGGCTCAGCAGCTCCAGACGCAGCACCCCCAGGCTCAGCAGCTCCCAGCTCAGCACCCCCAGGCTCAGCAGCTCCCGACCCAGCACCCCCAGACCCAGCACCTCCAGGCACAGCACCCCCCGGCTCAGCACCCCCAGGCTCCGCACCCTCCGCAGCAGCACCCCCAGGCCCAGCACCCCCAGCAGTAGCACCCCCAGGCTCAGCACCCCCGCGCACAGCACCCCCAGAGTCAGCAACCCCAGGCTCAGCACCCGCAGCAGCACCAGAGTCACCAGTAACCTCGACCGGGTCAACGGCGTCTACCTGGGACACACGTGAGGGGGCAGGAACCTGAGGGGGGAGGGGGTCTACCGGGGGGGGAACCGGCACAAGGAAGTCCGGGGGAGGGGGGAGGGAAGGAGTGCGGTAGGGGAAGAGACGGTAGAAGGGGACTGACTCGTCGAACGTGACGTCCTGGGAGGACAGAACACGACGAGAGGAGGGGTGGTAAAACTGCCACCCTGGGGCGTCAGTGGGGAAGCCAAGGAAGACACAGGGAGCAGCACGAGGGGACAGCTTGTCCGCAGACAAGTCGCGGACAAACGCCCGAGATCCCCAGACACGGAACACAGACGCATCGCCTACCTTCCCCGTCCACAGCAAGGCTGGGGACATCGCAGGCCGAGAGACCCGGGGGTGAAGGTTGAGCTGATGCGCCGCGTACCTCACCGCAAACGGCCACAGAAAATGGGGGGCAGCCGCATGCATCATGGACGTACGAGCGACATCCATGACCATGCCAATGCGGCTCTCAGCAATCCCATTTTGCTATGGTGAGTCCGGAAGCGTGAAGGTCTGGCGGATCCCCCGTGCACGACAGTAGTCTCGCAGAAGGCGAGAAGAGAACTCTCCGCCTCTGTCCGAGTGCAGACGCAGAACAGGAAAGTCCGAGCCGAAGCTCTTCCTGAGCTGGAGACGAGCCTCGCGGATCCAGTCGATCAGCACCTCAGTGACTGCACCCTTGCTGCGCAAGGGGAGGACTGTGGTGTAACGCGAGTAGTCGTCAACCACCAACAGAAAGTAGCGCTCGTGACCCTGCCCACGGACGGGGGCTGGGCCCCACACATCCATGTGAGGCGTCTGCAGGGGAGCCTCTGTCGGGGGGAAGTGGGAGGAGTGAGGAGTAGCCCGGAGGCGACCCTCGACACAGGGGACACAGGAAGGTCCTGGCCCGGAGGGGAGAGGAGGGAGAGACTGGGGAAGACCAGAGACAAGGACACGGGAAGCCATGCTCCGAAGACGGGGCAAGGAGGGGTGGCCAAGACGGTGGTGCCACAGGAGAGTCTCGTGAGACAGGAGGCGACAAGAACAGGGGGCAGACTCAGGACCTGACCGGGACGCAGCAGCAAGCACCTGACCTGACGCAGCTACCTGACCGGACGCAGGGACAGGAGGAGACGAAGTGGTCAGGGTGTAGAGACTCGACCCCGGCCGACGTGAGAAGGTGGCCAGGTGTCGGCCTGTCCGTGCGTCCGTGCAGTGGGTCACCCGCTGACTCGCAGGATTGAACTGGTGAACCCCCGCATCCTGCAGGGCTGCACCACTCACCAAGTTCGTAGAGAACGAGGGAAGGTACAGACCAGACAGGGTGCCCGAAGGGGCAGCCGGACACGGGAGGACAGTGGAGAAGTGAGACAGGACAGGACCCCCAGAGGGGTCAGCAAGGGAGACTGCAACCGGCCGGCCGAGCGGCGTAAGGGTAGTGCGGTCTCGAAAGAAGGAGCGAGAAGCCCCGGAGTCAAGTGTGAAAGTGAGGGAGGACGAGGACGACGCAGTACCTGAGAGCGCAGACGCACTGGCACCTAGAGCAGCAGCCTCACAAGCACCTAGCGCAGCAGTACCAATGCCCGGGTCGGGCTGGAAACACCGGTAACCCTCATTCTCCTCACTATAAGTCACAGCATACATAGCAGCAAGGATAGCATCAAAATCAAGATCAAAGATCGCTACACCAGCCCTAAGAAGCTCATCCCAGCGAGGGATCTCACTAGCCCCAGGGAACTGCTGACGCCAAGCGTCCGTCAGGCGGCCAAAGCAGCGCTGGGTGGCGTGGGCACCCCCACACTGCTCACCCGCGCGGTCGCCGGAACGAAGAACGTAGGTGCAGGGACCAGTACCCCCACCCCTCTGACGCCCAACGTACCACTCACGAAGCTGCTGAGGCGGAGGGATGTCCCGCGAGCGCTGCTGCTGCTGCCGCTGCGAGCGCTGGCCACCACCACCGCCGCTACGCTGCTGGGTACCACCCCGACCAGCTCCACCTCCTCCACCACCACCGCCTCCTCCGCTGCCGCCTCCACCGCCTCCACCTCCGCCGCCTCCACCTCCGCCGCTGCCTCCACCACCACCGCTGGCACCACCACCACCGTCTCCGCCGCTGCTGCCACCACCACCACCACCCCCGCCACTAGTCCCGCCGCCACCCCCACTCCCTCCGCCGCCACCGCCGCCACCGCCACCGCCCCCTCCAGCTCCACCCGCGCCCTTGCCCCCCTTGCCCTTGCTGGAGCAACGTCTCCCACTAGGGGCAGACGCCGCGCCGACCGACTCAAGACCAAGCAGGTCGGCAGCAGCAGCAGAGGCAACAGAGGGCAGCAAGGGGGAAGGATAGCACCCCTCAAAGATGGGGGTGCGAGGGTCACCACGAGAAGCACCTACAGCGACTATGCTCTTCTCCGCTACGAGGAGGGCCTTCTCGAGGACGTCGACGGTGAGGGTGGTGGGACAGACTGCGAGAAAGTGGTCCTTGACGACGCGAAGGGAGTCAGAGAGGCGCGCGACTACGTAGTAGAGAGCGATGTACATGGGGGGTGGGTTCTTAGCGCAGAACTCAGCAGGAAGGGCGGCGCGGTAGCGAGTGTCACTAGTGCGGAGGTGCGTAATGAGGTCAGCGACAGTGGGAAAGGCAGAGAGGTCAGGAAAGAGGTAGGGAAGCATGAGACGGCTCAGTGCAGCAGTGGCAGGGGAGGAGTAGCGCGCAACTACAGCGTCGTACAAGGTCTGAGCACTCTTGTACTGACTAAAGTGCGCACGCTCAGAGGTAGGGAGGTGGCGACGCACAGCAAGACGTGCAGCAGCATCGCGGGTGGCCCACTGAGAGCGGACAGTGGGATCGGCATCAGCAGCAGGAGCAGGAGAGGCGCCAGAGGTGAGGTCAAAGAGAGAAAGGCCATCAGCCCCGTCGCACTGTAAGAACAGCTGCAGGTCGTCTAACCAGACCTCGAAATCTATGGCGCGACCCTCAGCGTCAAAAGCTAGGACACTAGGGGTAGCCATGGCGACGACAGCGAAGCAGTGCAAGCAGTAGGGAAAGAGCTCGCAGTGACAGTGGGACTGTGCTCACCAGGCAGGGCAGGTCCTGTAGCTCTGCAGAAAGGCGGCTCGGTGACCGGTCGGCTCGGGTGCACAGCGGCTCGGCTCCCGGGCGGCTCGGCGGCTGGGCGGCTCGGGCGCAGGGCGGCTCGGCTCCCGGGCGGCTCGGCGGCAGGGCGGCTCGGGTGCAGGGCGGCTCGGCTCCCGGGCGGCTCGGCGGCAGGGCGGCTCGGGTGCAGGGCGGCTCAGGTCCCGGTCGGCTCGGCGACAGGGCGGCTCGGGCGTTGGGCGGCTCGGCTCCCGGGCGGTTCGGCTGCACTGCTGCCCGACTGCTGCTGGTGTGGCGGCGGGGCCGCGTGAGAGAGCCGGGGCAGGGACGCGTGAGGGCCGGCGGCGGGGCCGCGTGAGAGCCGGGGCGGGGCCGCTTCAGAGCCTGGGCGGGGCCGCTTCAGAGCCGGCGGCGGGGCCGCAAAAGAGCCGGCGGCGGGGCCGCTTGAGAGCCGGGGCAGGGGCCGCGTCAGGGCCGGCGACGGGGCCGTAAGAGAGCCGGCGGCGGGGCCTGGAGAGGGCCGACGGCGGGGCCACGTGAGAGCCGGGGCGGGGCCGCAAGAGAGCCGGCGGCGGGGCCGCGTGAGAGCCGGGGCAGGGGCCGCGTAAGAGCCGGGACGGGGCCACGGAAGAGCCAGGGGCGGGGCCGTAGGAGAGCCGGCGGTGGGGCCGCGTAGGAGCCGGGGCGGGGCCGCGCTAGAGTAGGCGGCGGGGCCGCGTAAGAGCCTGGGCGGGGCCGCGACAGAGCCGTCGGCGGGGCCGCGTGAAGGCCGGGGCGGGGCCGCGTAGGAGCCGGGGCGGGGCCGCGTGAGAGCACGCAGCGGGGCCGCGTAAAGGCCGGGGCGGGGCCGCGTGAGAGCCTGCGACGGGGCCGCGTAAGGGAGGGCGGCGGGGCCGCGTCAGTGGAGGCGGCTGAGCCGCAGGGGAAAAGGCGACCCGAGGGGTCGCTAAAAAAAAATCGCGCCTCGGGGCGCGCTTCGGAGGGCCCAAAAAAACGGTCCTTAGAAGGACCCGCTCTATACCATGTGAGAATAAACGAACAGGAATGAATGAACTAGCAGTGAAATGAGTACAAGTAGGAAACCCTAGAATTGTGTACCGCCTATAGGCTAACCCACTGTAGCCTACACAAGCATAACATATATAATGTTTGACACGGTCAGTATGGGAACTTAGAGTGCAAATGCCTGGGAGAACGGAACCGCTCAGATCTCGCATAATACACGGAATCTAGTGGTCTCACTCAAATATAAGGAAGGAAATTTATTCATCTAGTGAACGTAAGGGTTTGAAAGGTAACTAACGCACATGTGTAGAGAAAATGGTGCATCGGCCAGTCTGGCCGGCATTTCGCACTCATAGTGCAGGTGGGGCCAGGGAGAACGGAAACGCTCGTTTCTCAAAAAGTAGAGGGAATCTAACGGTCTCACTCAATCAGAAGGTGGGAAATATATAAATCTAGTCAGCTAAAAAGGTTTGAAATGTATTCAACGCACATGTATAGAGAAAATGGTGCATTGGCCAGGTCGGTCAGTATCGGTACTTAAAATGCAAATGCTAGGGAGAACGGAAGCGCTCAGATCTCACATAGTACACGGAATCAAGTGGTCTCACTCAAATAGAAAGTAGGAAATATATTCATCTAGTGAACGTAAGGGTTTGAAAGGTAACTAACGCACATGTGTAGAGAAAATTGTGCATCGGCCAGTCTGGCCGGCATTTCGCACTTATAGTGCAACTAGGGCCAAGGAGAACGGAAACGCTCATTTCTCAAAAAGTAGAGGGAATCTAGCGGTCTCACTCGATCAGAAGGTGGGAAATATATAAATCTAGTGAGCTAATAAGGTTCGAAAGGAATCTAATGCATATGTATATGGAAAATGGTGCATTGGCCAGGTCGGTCAGTGTGGGAACTTAGAGTGCAAATGCCAGGGAGAACGGAAGCGCTCAGATCTCGCATAGTACACGGAATCTAGTGGTCTCACTCAAATAGAAGGTAGGAAATAAATTCATCTAGTGAACGTAAAGGTTTGAAAAGTAACTAACGCACATGTGTAGAGAAAATGGTGCATCGGCCAGTCTCGCCGGCATTTCGCACTTATAGTGCAAGTAGGGCCAAGGAGAACGGAAACGCTCATTTCTCAAAAAGTAAAGGGAATCTAGCAGTCTCACTCGATCAGAAGGTGGGAAATATATAAATCTAGTGAGCTAATAAGGTTCCGAAGGAATCTAATGCATATGTATATCGAAAGTGGTGCATTGGCCAGGTCGGTCAGTATGGGAACTTAGAGTGCAAATGCCTGGGAGAACGGAACTGCTCAGATCTCGCATAATACACGGAATCTAGTGGTCTCACTCAAATATAAGATAGGAAATATATTCATCTAGTGAACGTTAGGGTTTGAAAGGTAACTAACGCACATGTGAAGAGAAAATGGTGCATCGGCCAGTCTGGCCGGCATTTCGCGCTCATAGTGCAGGTGGGGCCAGGGAGAACGGAAACGCTCGTTTCTCAAAAAGTGGAGGGAATCTAACGATCTCACTCGATCAGAAGGTGGGAAATATATAAATCTAGTCAGCTAAAAAGGTTTGAAATGTATTCAACGCACATGTATAGAGAAAATGGTGCATTGGCCAGGTCGGTCAGTATCGGAACTTAAAATGCAAATGCCAGGGAGAACGGAAGCGCTCAGATCTCGCATAGTACACGGAATCAAGTGGTCTCACTCAAATAGAAAGTAGGAAATAAATTCATCTAGTGAACGTAAGGGTTTGAAAGGTAACTAACGCACATGTGTAGAGAAAATTGTGCATCGGCCAGTCTGGCCGGCATTTCGCACTTATAGTGCAACTAGGGCCAAGGAGAAAGGAAACGCTCATTTCTCGAAAAGTAGAGGGAATCTAGCGGTCACACTTGATCAGAAGGTGGGAAATATATAAATCTAGTAAGCTAATAAGGTTCAAAAGGAATCTAATGCATATGTATATGGAAAATGGTGCATTGGCCAGGTCAGTCAGTATGGGAACTTAGAGTGCAAATGCCAGGGAGAACGGAAGCGCTTAGATCTCGCATAGTACACGGAATCTAGTGGTCTCACTCAAATAGAAGGTAGGAAATAAATTCATCTAGTGAACGACAGGGTTTGAAAGGTAACTAACACACATGTGTAGAGAAAATGGTGCATCGGCCAGTCTGGCCGGCATTTCGCACTTTTAGTGCAACTACGGCCAAGGAGTACGGAAACGCGCATTTCTCAAAAAGTAGAAGGAATCCAGCGGTCTCACTCGATCAGAAGGTGGGAAATATATAATTATAGTGAGCTAATAAGGTTCGAAAGGAATCTAATGCATATGTATATGGAAAATGGTGCATTGGCCAGGTCGGTCAGTATGGGAACTTAGAGTGCAAATGCCAGGGAGAACGGAAGGGCTCAGATCTCGCATAGTACACGGAATCTAGTGGTCTCACTCAAATAGAAGGTAGGAAATAAATTCATCTAGTGAACGTAAGGGTTTGAAAGGTAACTAACGCACATGTGTAGAGAAAATGGTGCATCGGCCAGTCTGGCCGGCATTTCGCACTTTTAGTGCAACTAGGGCCAAGGAGAACGGAAACGCTCATTTCTAAAAAAGTAAAGGGAATCTAGCGGTCTCACTCGATCAGAAGGTGGGAAATATATATATCTAGTGAGCTAATAATGTTCGGAAGGAATCTAATGCATATGTATATGGAAAGTGGTGCATTGGCCAGGTCAGTCAGTATGGGAACTTAGAGTGCAAATGCCTCGGAGAACGTAACCGCTCAGATCTCGCATAATACATGGAATCTAGTGGTCTCACTCAAATATAAGGTAAGAAATATATGCATCTAGTGAACGTAAGGGTTTGAAAGGTAACTAACGCACATGTGTAGAGAACATTGCGCATCTGCCAGTCTGGCCGGCATTTCGCACTTATAGTGCAAGTAGGGCCAAGGAGAACGGAAACGCTCATTTCTCAAAAAGTAGAGGGAATCTAGCGGTCTCACTCGATCAGAAGGTGGGAAATATATAAATCTAATGAGCTAATAAGGTTTGAAAGGAATCTAATGCATATGTATATGGAAAATGGTGCATTGGCCAGGTTGGTCAGTATGGGAACTTAGAGTGCAAATGCCAGGGAGAACGGAAGCGCTCAGATCTCGCATAGTACACGGAATCTAGTGGTCTCACTCAAATAGAAGGTAGGAAATAAATTCATCTAGTGGACGTAAGGGTTTGAAAGGTAACTAACGCACATGTGTAGAGAAAATGGAGCATCGGCCAGTCTCGCCGACATTTCGCACTTATAGTGCAAGTAGGGCCAAGGAGAACGGAAACGCTCATTTCTCAAAAAGTAAAGGGAATCTAGCAGTCTCACTCGATCAGAAGGTGGGAAATATATAAGTCTAGTGAGCTAATAAGGTTTGAAAGGAATCTAATGCATATGTATATGGAAAATGGTGCATTGGCCAGGTCGGTCAGTATGGGAACTTAGAGTGCAAATGCCAGGGAGAACGGAAGCGCTCAGATCTCGCATAGTACACGGAATCTAGTGGTCTCACTCAAATAGAAGGTAGGAAATAAATTCAACTAGAGAACGTAAGGGTTTGAAAGGTAACTAACGCACCTGTGTAGAGAAAATGGAGCATCGGCCAGTCTGGCCGGCATTTCGCACTTATAGTGCAAGTAGGGCCAAGGAGAACGGAAACGCTCATTTCTCAAAAAGTAAAGGGAATCTAGCAGTCTCACTCGATCAGAAGGTGGGAAATATATAAATCTAGTCAGCTAATAAGGTTCGGAAGGAATCTAATGCATATGTATATGGAAAGTGGTGCATTGGCCAGGTCGGTCAGTATGGGAACTAAGAGTGCAAATGCCTGGGAGAACGGAACTGCTCAGATCTCGCATAATGCACGGAATCTAGTGGTCTCACTCAAATATAAGGTAGGAAATATATTCATCTAGTGAACGTAAGGGTTTGAAAGGTAACTAACGCACATGTGTAGAGAAAATGGTGCATCGGCCAGTCTGGCCGGCATTTCGCACTCATAGTGCAGGTGGGGCCAGAGAGAACGGAAACGCTCGTTTCTCAAAAACTAGAGGGAATCTAATGGTCTCACTCGATCAGAAGGTGGGAAATATATAAATCTAGTCAGCTTAAAAGGTTTGAAATGTATTCAACGCACATGTATAGAGAAAATGGTGCATTGGCCAGGTCGGTCAGTATCGGAACTTAAAATGCAAATGCCAGGGAGAACGGAAGCGCTCACATCTCGCATAGTACACGGAATCAAGTGGTCTCACTCAAATAGAAAGTTGGAAATATATTAATCTAGTGAACGTAAGGGTTTGAAAGGTAACTAACGCACATGTGTAGAGAAAATGGTGCATCGGCCAGTCTGGTCGGCATTTCGCACTTATAGTGCAACTAGGGCCAAGGAAAACGGAAACGCTCATTTCTCAAAAAGTAGAGGGAATCTAGCGGTATCACTCAATCAGAAGGTGGGAAATATATAAATCTAGTCAGCTAATAAGGTTCGGAAGGAATCTAATGCATATGTATATGGAAAGTGGTGCATTGGCCAGGTCGGTCAGTATGGGAACTTAGAGTGCAAATGCCTGGGAGAACGGAACTGCTCAGATCTCGCATAATGCACGGAATCTAGTGGTCTCACTCAAATATAAGGTAGGAAATATATTCATCTAGTGAACGTAAGGGTTTGAAAGGTAACTAACGCACATGTGTAGAGAAAATGGTGCATCGGCCAGTCTGGCCGGCATTTCGCACTCATAGTGCAGGTGGGGCCAGAGAGAACGGAAACGCTCGTTTCTCAAAAACTAGAGGGAATCTAATGGTCTCACTCGATCAGAAGGTGGGAAATATATAAATCTAGTCAGCTTAAAAGGTTTGAAATGTATTCAACGCACATGTATAGAGAAAATGGTGCATTGGCCAGGTCGGTCAGTATCGGAACTTAAAATGCAAATGCCAGGGAGAACGGAAGCGCTCACATCTCGCATAGTACACGGAATCAAGTGGTCTCACTCAAATAGAAAGTTGGAAATATATTAATCTAGTGAACGTAAGGGTTTGAAAGGTAACTAACGCACATGTGTAGAGAAAATGGTGCATCGGCCAGTCTGGTCGGCATTTCGCACTTATAGTGCAACTAGGGCCAAGGAAAACGGAAACGCTCATTTCTCAAAAAGTAGAGGGAATCTAGCGGTATCACTCAATCAGAAGGTGGGAAATATATAAATCTAGTCAGCTAATAAGGTTCGGAAGGAATCTAATGCATATGTATATGGAAAGTGGTGCATTGGCCAGGTCGGTCAGTATGGGAACTTAGAGTGCAAATGCCTGGGAGAACGGAACTGCTCAGATCTCGCATAATGCACGGAATCTAGTGGTCTCACTCAAATATAAGGTAGGAAATATATTCATCTAGTGAACGTAAGGGTTTGAAAGGTAACTAACGCACATGTGTAGAGAAAATGGTGCATCGGCCAGTCTGGCCGGCATTTCGCACTCATAGTGCAGGTGGGGCCAGAGAGAACGGAAACGCTCGTTTCTCAAAAACTAGAGGGAATCTAATGGTCTCACTCGATCAGAAGGTGGGAAATATATAAATCTAGTCAGCTTAAAAGGTTTGAAATGTATTCAACGCACATGTATAGAGAAAATGGTGCATTGGCCAGGTCGGTCAGTATCGGAACTTAAAATGCAAATGCCAGGGAGAACGGAAGCGCTCACATCTCGCATAGTACACGGAATCAAGTGGTCTTACTCAAATAGAAAGTTGGAAATATATTAATCTAGTGAACGTAACGGTTTGAAAGGTAACTAACGCACATGTGTAGAGAAAATGGTGCATCGGCCAGTCTGGTCGGCATTTCGCACTTATAGTGCAACTAGGGCCAAGGAAAACGGAAACGCTAATTTCTCAAAAAGTAGAGGGAATCTAGCAGTATCACTCGATCAGAAGGTGGGAAATATATAAATCTAGTGAGCTAATAAGGTTCGAAAGGAATCTAATGCATATGTATATGGAAAATGGTGCATTGGCCAGGTCGGTCAGTATGGGAACTTAGAGTGCAAATGCCAGGGAGAACGGAAGCGTTCAGGTCTCGCATAGTACACGGAATCTAGTGGTCTCACTCAAATAGAAGGTAGGAAATAAATTCATCTAGTGAACGTAATGGTGTGAAAGGTAACTAACGCACATGTGTAGAGAAAATGGTGCATCGGCCAGTCTGGCCGGCATTTCGCACTTATGGTGCAAGTAGGCCCAAGGAGAACGGAAACGCTCATTTCTCAAAAAGTAAAGGGAATCTAGCGGTCTCACTCGATCAGAAGGTGGGAAATATATAAATCTAGTGAGCTAATAAGGTTCGGAAGGAATCTAATGCATATGTATATGGAAAGTGGTGCATTGGCCAGGTCGGTCAGTATGGGAACTTAGAGTGCAAATGCCTGGGAGAACGGAACCGCTCAGATCTCGCATAATACACGGAATCTAGTGGTCTCACTCAAATATAAGGTAGGAAATATATTCATCTAGTGAACGTAAGGGTTTGAAAGGTAACTAACGCACATGTGTAGAGAAAATGGTGCATTGGCCACTCTAGCCGGCACTTCGCACTCATAGTGCAGGTGGGGCCAGGGAGAACGGAAACGCTCGTTTCTCAAAAAGTTGAGGGAATCTAACGGTCTCACTTGATGAGAAGGTGGGAAATATATAAATCTAGTCAGCTAAAAAGGTTTGAAATGTATTCAATGCACATGTATAGAGAAAATGGTGCATTGGCCAGGTCGGTCAGTATCGGAACTTAAAATGCAAATGCCAGGGAGAACGGAAGCGCTCAGATCTCGCATAGTACATGGAATCAAGTGGTCTCACTCAAATAGAAAGTAGGAAATCTATTCATCTAGTGAACGTAAGGGTTTGAAAGGTAACTAACGCACATGTGTAGAGAAAATTGTGCATCGGCCAGTCTGGCCGGCATTTCGCACTTATAGTGCAACTGGGGCCAAGGAGAACGGAAACGCTCATTTCTCAAAAAGTAGAGGGAATCTAGCGGTCTCACTCGATCAGAAGGTGGGAAATATATAAATCTAGTGAGCTAATAAGGTTCGAAAGGAATCTAATACATATGTATATGGAAAATGGTGCATTGGCCAGGTCGGTCAGTATGGGAACTTAGAGTGCAAATGACATTGACGTGGACGTGGACGTGGACGTGGACATGGACATGGACATGGACGTGGATGTGGACATGGACGTGGATGTGGACATGGACGTGGACATGGACGTGGATGTGGACATGGACATGGACGTGGACGTGGACGTGGACGTGGACATGGACGTGGACGTGGACATGGACGTGGATGTGGACATGGACGTGGACGTGTCCATGTCCATGTCCACGTCCACGTCCACGTCTATGTGCACGTCCACGTTCACGTCCACATCCATGTCCATGTCCATGTCCACGTCCACGTCCACGTCCACGTCCACGTCCATGTCCATGTCCATGTCCACGTCCACGTCCACGTCCATGTCCACGTCCACGTCCATGTCCACGTCCACGTCCATGTCCACGCCACGTCCTCGTCCACGTCCAGGTCCACGTCCATGTCTACGTCCACGTCCATGTCCACGTCCACGTCCATGTCCACGACCACGTCCACGACCACGTCCACGTCCACGTCCACGTCCACGTCTAAGTCCATGTCCACGTCCACGTCCACGTCCACGTCCACATCCACGACCATGTCTTCGTCCACATCCACGTCCACGTCCATGTCCACGTCCATGTCCACGTCCAAGTTCTCCACGTCCACGTCCACTTCCACGTCGACGTCCACGTACATGTCCACGTCCACGTACATGTCCACGTCCACGTCCACCTCCATGTCCACGTCCACCTCCATGTCCACGTCCACGTCCACGTCCACGTCCACGTCCACGTCCACGTTCACGTCCATGTCCACGTCCAAGTTCTCCACGTCCACGTCCATGTCCACGTCCACGTCCACGTCTACGTCTACGTCCATGTCCATGTCCACGTCCACGTCCACGCCCACGTCCATGTCCACGTCCACGTCCACGTCCACGTCCACGTCCACGTCCACGTCCACGTCCATGTCCACGTCCACGTCCACGTCCACGTCCACTCCACGTCTACCTCCACGTCCATGTCCACGTCCACGTCCACGTGCACGTCCATGTCCACGTCCACGTTTACGTCCATGTCCACGTCCATGTCCACGTCCATGTCCACGTTCACGTCCATGTCTACGTCCAAGTTCTCCACGTCCACGTCCACGTCCACGTCCACCTCTACGTCCACGTCCACGTCCACGTCCACCTCCACGTCCACGTCCACGTCCACCTCCACGTCCACCTCCACGTCCATGTCCACGTCCACGTCCACGTCCACTCCACGTCCACGTCCACCTCCACGTCCATGTCCATGTCCACGTCCACGTCCACTCCACGTCCACGTCCACGTCCACGTCCACGTCCATGTCCACGTCCACGTCCACGTCCACGTCCACGTCCACACGTCCACGTCCACGTCCACGTCCACGTCCACGTCCACGTACACGTCCACGTCCACGTCCACGTCCACGTCCACGTCCACGTCTACGTCCACGTCCACGTCCACGTCCACGTCCACTCAACGTCCACCTCCACGTCCACGTCCACGTCCACGTCCACGTCCACGTCCACGTCCACTCCACGTCCACGTCCACGTCCACGTCCACGTCCACGTCCACGTCCACGTCCACGTCCCAGTCCACGTCCACGTCCACGTCCACGTCCATGTCCACGTCCACGTCCCAGTCCACGTCCACGTCCACGTCCACGTCCACGTCCATGTCCACGTCCATGTCCACGTCCAAGTTCTCCACGTCCACGTCCACTTCCACGTCGACGTCCACGTACATGTCCACGTCCATGTCCACGTCCACGTCCACGTCCATGTCCACGTCCACGTCCATGTCCACGTCCACGTCCACGTCCACGTCAACGTCCATCTCCACGTCCAAGTCCTCCACGTCCACGTCCACGTCCATCTCCACGTCCACGTCCACGTCCACGTCCACGTCCATGTCCACGTCCATGTCCATGTCCACGTCCATGTCCACGTCCATGTCCACGTCCATGTCCACGTCCACGTCCAGGTCCACGTCCACGTCCATGTCCACGTCCATGTCCACGTCCATGTCCACGTCCACGTCGATGTCCACGTCCATGTTCACGTCCACGTCTTGTTCACGTCCACGTCCATGTCCACGTCCACGTCCACGTCCACGTCCACGTCCACGACCATGTCCACGTCCACGTCCATGTCCACGTCCACGTCCACGTCCATGTCCAGGTCCACGTCCATGTCCACGTCCACGTCCACGTCCATGTCCACGTCCACGTCCACGTCCACGTCCACGTCCACGTCCATGTCCACGTCCACGTCCACGTCCATGTCCACGTCCAAGTCCTCCACGTCCACGTCCACGTCCACGTTCACGTCCATGTCCACGTCCAAGTTCTCCACGTCCACGTCCTCCACGTCCACGTCCACGTCCACGTCCACGTCCACGTCCACGTCTACGTCCACGTCCACGTCCACGTCCACGTCCACGTCTACGTCCACGTCCACGTCCACGTCCACGTCCACGTCCACAACCACGTCCATGTCCACGTCCACGTCCACTCCACGTCCACTCCACGTCCACATCCACGTCCACGTCCACTCCACGTCCACTCCACGTCCACGTCCACGTCCACGTCCACGTCCACGTCCACGTCCATGTCCACGTCCACGTCCACGTCCACGTCCACCTCCATGTCCACGTCCACGTCCACGTCCACCTCCATGTCCACGTCCACGTCCACGTCCACGTCCATGTCCACGTCCACGTCCACGTCCACGTCCACGTCACGTCCACGTCCACGTCCATGTCCACGTCCACGTCCACGTCCACGTCAACGTCCACGTCCACGTCCACGTCCACTCCACGTCCACGTCCATGTCCACGTCCAAGTCCTCCACGTCCACGTCCACGTCCACGTTCACGTCCATGTCCACGTCCAAGTTCTCCACGTCCACGTCCACGTTCACGTCCATGTCCACGTCCAAGTTCTCCACGTCCACGTCCACGTCCACGTCCACGTCCACGTCCTCCACGTCCACGTCCACGTCCATGTCCACGTCCACGTCCACGTCTACGTCTACGTCCACGTCCATGTCCACGTCCACGTCCACGTCCATGTCCACGTCCACGTCCACGTCCACGTCCACGTCCACGTCCACGTCCACGTGCATGTCCACGTCCACGTCCACGTCCACGTCCATGTCCACGTCCACGTCCACGTCCACTCCACGTCTACCTCCATGTCCATGTCCACGTCCACGTCCACGTCCACGTCCATGTCCACGTCCACGTCCACGTCCACGTCCATGTCCACGTCCATGTCCACGTCCATGTCCACGTTCACGTCCATGTCCACGTCCAAGTTCTCCACGTCCACGTCCACGTCCACGTCCACGTCCACCTCCACGTCCACGTCCACGTCCACCTCCACGTCCACGTCCACGTCCACGTCCACCTCCACGTCCACGTCCACGTCCACCTCCACGTCCACCTCCACGTCCATGTCCACGTCCACGTCCACGTCCACTCCACGTCCACGTCCACCTCCACGTCCATGTCCATGTCCACGTCCACGTCCACTCCACGTCCACGTCCACGTCCACGTCCACGTCCACGTCCATGTCCACGTCCACGTCCACGTCCATGTCCACGTCCACGTCCACACGTCCACGTCCACGTCCACGTCCACGTACACGTCCACGTCCACGTCCACTCAACGTCCACCTCCACGTCCACGTCCACGTCCACGTCCACTCCACGTCCACGTCCACGTCCACGTCCACGTCCACGTCCACGTCCACGTCCACGTCCATGTCCACGTCCACGTCCACGTCTACGTCCACGTCCACGTCCACGTCCATGTCCACGTCTATGTCCACGTCCACGTCCACGTCTACGTCCACGTCCAGGTCCACGTCCACGTCCACGTCCACGTCCACGTCCACGTCCACGTCCACGTCCACGTCCTCGTCCACGTCCACGTCCACGTCCACGTCCACGTCCACGTCCACGTCCACGACCACGTCCACGTCCACGTCCACGTCCATGTCCATGTCCACGTCCACGACCACGTCCACGTCCACGTCCACGTCCACGTCCACGTCCATGTCCACGTCCACGTCCACGTCCACGTCCACGTCCACGTCCACGTCCACGTCTACGTCCACCTCCACGTCCAGGTCCACGTCCACGTCCATGTCCACGTCCACGTCCACGACCACGTCCACGTCCACGTCCACGTCTACGTCTACGTCCACGTCCACGTCCACGTCCACGTCCATGTCCACGTCCACGTCCATGTCCACGTCCAAGTCCTCCACGTCCACGTCTACGTCCACGTCCATGTCCACGTCCATGTCCACGTCCATGTCCACGTAAACGTCCATGTCCACGTCCACGTCTATGCCCACGTCCACGTCCACGTCTATGTCCACGTCCACGTCTACGTCCACGTCCACGCCCACGTCCATGTCCATGTCTAGGTCCACGACCATGTCTACGTCCATGTCCACGTCCACGTCCACGTCCGCGTCCACGACCACGTCCATGTCCACGTCCATGTCCGCGTCCAGGTCCACGTCCACGTCCACGTCCACGTCCATGTCCGCGTCCACGTCCAGGTCCAGGTCCACGTCCACGTCCACGTCCACGTCCATGTCCGCGTCCACGTCCACGTCCATGTCCGCGTCCACGTCCACGTCCCCGTCCATGTCCATGTCCACGTCCACGTCCACGACCAAGTCCACGTCCACGTCCACGTCAACGTCCACGTCCACGTTCACGTCCACGTCCACGTCCACGTCCATGTCCACGTCTAGGTCCATGTCCACGTCTATGTCCACGTCCACGTCCATGTCCACGTCCACGTCCATGTCCACGTCCATGTCCATGTCCATGTCCACGTCGACGTCCACGTCCACGACCACGTCCATGTCATTTGCACTCGAAGTTCCCATACTGACCGACCTGGCCAATGCACCATTTTCCATATACATATGCATTAGTTTCTTTCAAACCTTTTTAGCTCACTAGATTTATATATTTCCCACCTTCTGATCGAGTGAGACCGCTAGATTCCCTCTAATTTTTGAGAAATAAGCGTTTCCGTTCTCCTTGGCCCTAGTTGCACTATCAGTGCAAAATGCCGGCCAGACTGGCCGACACACAATTTTCTCTACACATGTGAGTTAGTTACCTTTCAAACCCTTATGTTCACTAGATGAATATATTTCCTACTTTCTATTTGGGTGAGACCACTTGATTCCGTGTACTATGCGAGATCTGAGCTCTTCCGTTCTCCCTGGCATTTGCATTTTAAGTTCCGATACTGACCGACCTGGCCAATGCACCATTTTCTCTATACATGTGCGTTGAATACATTTCAAACCTTTTTAGCTGACTAGATTTATATATTTCCCACCTTCTGATCGAGTGAGACCGTTAGATTCCCTCTACTTTTTGAGAAACGAGCGTTTCCGTTCTACCTGGCCCAACCTGCACTATGAGTGCGAAATGCCGGCCAGACTGGCCGATGCACCATTTTCTCTACACATGTGCATTAGTTACCTTTCAACCCTTACGTTCACTAGACGAATATATTTCCTACCTTATATTTGAGTGAGACCACTAGATTCCGTGTATTATGCGAGATCTGAGCGGTACCGTTCTCCCAGGCATTTGCACTCTAAGTTCCTATACTGACCGACCTCGCCAATGCACCACTTTCCATATACATATGCATTAGATTCCTTCTGAACCTTATTAGCTCACTAGATTTATATATTTCCCACCTTTTGATCGAGTGATCCCGCTAGATTCCCTGTACTTTCTGAGAAATGAGCGTTTCCGTTCTCCTTGGCCCTACTTGCACTCTGAGTGCGAAATGCCGGCCAGACTGGCCGATGCACAATTTTCTCTACACATGTGCGTTAGTTACCTTTCAAACCCTTACGTTCACTAGATGAATATATTTCCTACCTTATATTTGAGTGAGACCACTAGATTCCGTGTATTATGCGAGATCTGAGCGGTTCTGTTCTCCCAGGCATTTGCACTGAAGTTCCCATACTGACCGACCTGGCCAATGCACCACTTTCCATATACATATGCATTAGATTCCTTTCAAACCTTATTAGCTCACTAGATTTATATATTTCCCACCTTTTGATCGAGTGAGACCGCTAGATTCCCTTTACTTTTTGAGAAATGAGCGTTTCCGTTCTCCTTGGCCCTACTTGCACTATAAGTGCGAAATGCCGGCCAGACTGGCCGATGCACCATTTTCTCTACACATGTGCGTTAGTTACCTTTCAAACCCTTACGTTCACTAGATGAATTTATTTCCTACCTTCTATTTGAGTGAGACCACTAGATGCTGTGTACTATGCGAGATCTGAGCGCTTCCATTCTCCCTGGCATTTGCACTCTAAGTTCCGATACTGACCGACCTGGCCAATGCACCACTTTCCATATACATATACATTAAATTCCTTCCGAACCTTATTAGCTCACTAGATTTATATATTTCCCACCTTTTGATCGAGTGATCCGGCTAGATTCCCTTTACTTTCTGAGAAATGAGCGTTTCCGTTCTCCTTGGCCCTACTTGCACTATAAGTGCGAAATGCCGGCCAGACTGGCTGATGCACAATTTTCTCTACACATGTGCGTTAGTTACCTTTCAAACCCTTACGTTCACTAGATGAATATATTTCCTACCTTATATTTGAGTGAGACCACTAGATTCCGTGTATTATGCGAGATCAGAGCGGTTCTGTTCTCCCAGGCATTTGCACTCTAAGTTCCCATACTAACCGACCTGGCCAATGCACCATTTTCCATATACATATGCATTAGATTCCTTTCGAACCTTATAAACTCTCTAGATTTATATATTTCCCACCTTCTAATCGAGTGAGACCGCTAGATTCCCTTTACTTTTTGAGAAATTAGCGTTTCCATTCTCCTTGGCCCTACTTGCACTATAAGTGCGAAATGCCGGCCAGACTGGCCGATGCACCATTTTCTCTACACATGTGCGTTAGTTACCTTTCGAACCCTTACGTTCACTAGATGAATTTATTTCCTACCTTCTATTTGAGTGAGACCACTAGATTCCGTGTACTATGCGAGATCTGAGCACTTCCGTTCTCCCTAGCATTTGCACTCTAAGTTCCCATACTGACCGACCTGGCCAATGCACCATTTTCCATATACATATGCATTAGATTCCTTTCGAACTTTATTAGCTCACTAGATTTATATATTTCCCACCTTTTGATCGAGTGAGACCACTAGATTCCCTCTACTTTTTGGGAAATGAGCGTTTTCGTTCTCCTTGGCCCTAGGTGCACGATAAGTGCGAAATGCCGGCCAAACTGGCCGATGCACAATTTTCTCTACACATGTGTGTTAGTTACCTTTCAAACCCTTACGTTCACTAGATGAATATATTTCCTACTTTCCATTTGAGTGAGACCACTTGATTCCGTGTACTATGCGAGATCTGAGCGCTTCCGTTCCCCCTGGCATTTGCATTTTAAGTTCCGATACTGACCGACCTGGCCAATGCACCATTTTCTCTATACATGTGCGTTGAATACATTTCAAACCTTTTTAGCTGACTAGATTTATATATTTCCCACCTTTTGATCGAGTGAGACCGTTAGATTCCCTCTACTTTTTGAGAAACGAGCGTTTCCGTTCTACCTGGCCCCACCTGCACTATGAGTGCAAAATGCCGGCCAGACTGGCCGATGCACCATTTTCTCTACACATGTGCATTAGTTACCTTTCAAACTCTTACGTTCACTAGATGTATATATTTCCTACCTTATATTTGAGTGAGACCACTAGATTCCGTGTATTATGCGAGATCTGAGCGGTTCCGTTCTCCCAGGCATTTGCACTCTAAGTTCCCATACAGACCGACCTAGCCAATGCACCACTTTCCATATACATATGCATTAGATTCCTTTTGAACCTTATAAGCTCACTAGATTTATATATTTCCCACCTTCTGATCGAGTGAGACTGCTAGATTCCCTTTACTTTTTGAGAAATGAGCGTTTTCGTTCTCCTTGGCCCTACTTGCACTATAAGTGCGAAATGCCGGCCACACTGGCCGATGCACCATTTTCTCTACACATGTGCGTTAGTTACCTTTCAAACCCTTATGTTCACTAGATGAATTTATTTCATACCTTATATTTGAGTGAGACCACTAGATTCCGTGTATTATGCGAGATCTGAGCGGTTCTGTCTCCCAAGCATTTGCACTCTAAGTTCCCATACTGACCGACCTGGCCAATGCACCACTTTCCATAAACATATGCATTAGATTCCTTTCGAACCTTATTAGCTCACTAGATTTATATATTTCCCACCTTCTGATCGAGTGAGACCGCTAGATTCCCTTTACTTTTTGAGAAATGAGCGTTTCCATTCTCCTTGGCCCTACTTGCACGATAAGTGCGAAATGCCGGCCAGACTGGCCGATGCACCATTTTCTCTACACATGTGCGTTAGTTACCTTTCAAACCCTTACGTTCACTAGATGAATTTATTTCCTACCTTCTATTTGAGTGAGACCACTAGATTCCGTGTACTATGCAAGATCTGAGCGCTTCCGTTCTCCCTGGCATTTGCATTTGAAGTTCCCATACTGACCGACCTGGCCAATGCACCATTTTCCATATACATATGCATTAGATTCCTTTCGAACCTTATTAGCTCACTAGATTTATATATTTCCCACCTTCTGATCGAGTGAGACCGCTAGATTCCCTTTACTTTTTGAGAAATGAGCGTTTCCGTTCTCCTTGGCCCTACTTGCACTATAAGTGCGAAATGCCGGCCAGACTGGCCGATGCACCATTTGCTCCACACATGTGCGTTAGTTACCTTTCAATCCCTTACGTTCACTAGATGAATTTATTTCCTACCTTCTATTTGAGTGAGACCACTAGATTCCGTGTACTATGCGAGATCTGAGCGGTTCCGTTCTCCCAGGCATTTGCACTCTAAGTTGCCATACTAACCGACCTGGCCAATGCACCAGTTTCCATATACATATGCAATAGATTCCTTGTGAACCTTATAAGCTGACTAGATTTATATATTTCCCACCTTCTGATCGAGTGAGACCACTAGATTCCCTTTACTTTTTGAGAAATGAGCGTTTCCGTTCTCCTTGGCCCTACTTGCACTATAAGTGCGAAATGCCGGCCCGACTGGCCGACGCACCATTTTCTCCACACACGTGCGTTAGTTACCTTTCAAACCCTTATGTTCACTAGATGAATTTATTTCCTACCTTCTTTTTGAGTGAGACCACTAGATTCCGTGTACTATGCGAGATCTGAGCGCTTCCGTTCTCCCTGGCATTTGCACTCTAAGTTCCCATACTGACCGACCTGGCCAATGCACCATTTTCCATATACATATGCATTAGATTCCTTTCGAACCTTATTAGCTCACTAGATTTATATATTTCCCACCTTTTGATCGAGTGAGACCGCTAGATTCCCTTTACTTTTTGAGAAATGAGTGTTTCCGTTCTCCTTGGCCCTACTTGCACTATAAGTGCGAAATGCCGGCCAGACTGGCCGATGCACCATTTTCTCTACACATGTGCGTTAGTTACCTTTCAAACCCTTACGTTCACTAGATGAATATATTTCCTACCTTATATTTGAGTGAGACCACTAGGGTTTTGGGGTTTAGGGTGAGCTGGGCTTAGGGTTGCCACTAGACTCATCCGTAGGCAGAGCTGAGAGTGAGTGGCGAGTATACAGAGGAGTGGCCTGAGGCGAGGAGTACGTGAAGCCGAAGCGCTGAAGGACCTGCTGCACCATGTGTGACTGAGTCAAGGTAATGGTGCGGCGTGCTCTGTCCCGAGTGATCTGCAAGCCAAGGTAGCTGCGCAGTTCACCCAGGTCTGTGCACGTGTGTCTCTTCAGCAGCTCGGACTTCACGTAGGCGAGTCCAGCAGTGTCCGCTGTGGCAAAGACCAAGTCGTCGACGTACACGAGGATGTAGAACGGTGGCAGAGAAGTGTCGGTGCGCAGAAACAACGACGGGTCAGCAGTAGAAGGAGCAAACCCAAGAGCCGCAAGCGTAGTCCTCAGTGTGTCGTGCCACTCACGCGGTGCCTGGCGGAGACCGTACACTGGCCGTCGGAGGCTCCACTGGGTGCCAGGAGGGAAAGTCCCAGTGAAGCCAGGTGGACGGCGCAGCCAAATCTCCTCGTGCAGGCTACCCTGCAGGAACGCAGTGCTGAAGTCGAGAGAGTGAAGCTCGTAGTCGCGCTGAGCGGCTATGTGCAGCAGCACCCGAAGAGTGGTCATCTTCGGGGTGGGAGAGAAGGTCTGAAAGTAGTCAACTCCCTGCCGCTGGCTGAAGCCACGAGCAACGTACCGCGCCTAGAAGACAGGTGGAGAGCCCGGCGGCCGCTTCACCCGGAAGATCCACATGCCACTGACGATGTTCGCCCCAGGAGGGGGAACTGCGTCAACGTAGGTGCCTGTGGACTTCCAGGAAGCCATCTCTGCATCCATAGCTGCCTGCCACTGAGAGGAGTAGGGACCCTCTACGGCCTCCGCGTAAGAGCGCGGAGTCGGGATGTCTAGTGCATCCGGGTCTCCCTCAGGAGCAAGCAGTACAGACGCGAGATGAGGTGAAGCAGCAGCCAGACACTGTAACTCCTCCTGCCTGTCCTCTAGGACGTCCGTGCCAAGAGCACACTCACCCCCGACGGACGGAGGACAGACAGACGCAGACTCAGCAACAAGACTAGCAGCGTAGTCTAGACGACAGCGAGCAGCAAAGTCGACGAGCTCAGCGACAAGAGCAGACGCAGCAGTGGACTCAAACGAGGGGTCAGTGACGACAGTAGCAAGCAGACGCGGGACAGTAGGACTGGCAGCACGAAGAGAGTCCGACTCAGGGTCTGCAAGCGCAGGAAGAGAGGACTCAGGCGGAGAAGGCAAAGGGGCACGCAGAGGAGCAGTGGACGGACGCAGAGACATCCGGTGCGTGCCAGGGACAGGAAGAGGACGCTGACGCGAACCGCGACCACTAGCGCGAGCAGCACGAACAGGCGACGCGGGACGAGACGCAGGCTCACGACGCTCAGTAAGACCTCCAGTAGGACCAGTGTAAGGAGAGGGAGCAGGCAGAGGAGAGGAAGGCTCCAAGAGTGACTGCGACTGGACAGGTTGTGGACCCTCTACCGGAGGAGAAAGACCAAGAACCTGCTGCAGGAGCGGAACGAAGTACGGCCGAGGCCGCGCGGCAGCTCCAGACTCAGCAGGGACAGCACCAGCACCCTCAGCGACAGTACCAGCGCCACCAACACCTCCAGCGGCAGGACCTCCAGCAGTACCAGCAGCAGAACCACCGAGAGGACAGACAGCAGTGGTCTCAGCACCAACACCCTCAGCAGCTCCAGCTCCAGGAGGACCCGCAGGCCCAGCAGCTCCGGGACCGGCAGCACCAGCACCCTCGACGGTCGAAGAAGCTCCAGCTCCAGCAGCACGCCTCCAGCGGCGAGCAAACCACTCGCGCAGCTCCTGGGGAGAGAGGGGCTCCCGTCGAGACGCAGCAGCAGGAGAAACCCCAGGCTCAGCACCCCCAGGCTCAGCAGCTCTAGACTTAGCACCCCCAGGCTCAGCAGCTCCAGGCACAGCACCCCCTGGCGCAGCACCCTCCGCAGTAGTATCCCCAGGCCCAGCACCCCCAGGCTCAGCACCCCCAGTAGCAGCACCTCCAGACCCGGCACCCCCGCGCACAGCACCCCCAGAGTCAGCACCCCCAGGCTCAGCACCCGCAGCAACACCAGAGTCACCAGTAACCTCGACCGGGTCAACTGCGTCTACCTGGGACACACCTGAGGGGGCAGGAACCTGAGGGGGGAGGGGGTCTACCGGGGGGGGAACCGGCACAAGGAAGTCCGGCGGAGGGGGGAGGGAAGGAGTGCGGTAGGGGAAGAGGCGGTAGAAGGGGACTGACTCGTCGAACGTGACCCTGCCCACGGATAGAACACGACGAGAGGAGGGGTGGTAAAACTGCCACCCTGGAGCGTAAGTGGGGAAGCCAAGGAAGACACAGGGAGCAGCACGAGGGGACAACTTGTCCGCAGACAAGTTGCGGACAAACGCCCGAGATCCCCAGACACGGAACGTCGACGCATCGCCAACCTTCCCCGTCCACAGCAAGACTGGGGACATCGCAGGCCGAGAGACCCTGGGGTGAAGGTTGAGCTGATGCGCCGCGTACCTCACCGCAAACGGCCACATAAAATGGGGGGCAGCCGCATGCATCATGGACGTACGAGCGACATCCATGACCATGCCAATGCGGCGCTCAGCAATCCCATTTTGCTGTGGAGAGTCCGGAAGCGTGAAGGTCTGGCGGATCCCCCGTGCACGACAGTAGTCTCGCAGAAGGCGCGAGGAGAACTCTCCGCCTCTGTCCGAGTGCAGACGCAGAACAGGAAAGTCCGAGCCGAAGCTCTTCCTGAGCTGGAGACGAGCCTCGCGGATCCAGTCGATCAGCACCTCAGTGACAGCACCCTTGCTGCGCAAGGGGAGGACTGTGGTGTAACGCGAGTAGTCGTCAACCACCAACAGAAAGTAGCGCTCGTGACCCTGCCCACGGACGGGGGCTGGGCCCCACACGTCCATGTGAAGCGTCTGCAGAGGAGCCTCGGTCGGGGGGAACTGGGAGGAGTGAGGAGCAGCCCGGAGGCGACCCTCGACACAGGGGACACAGGAAGGTCCTGGCCCGGAGGGAAGGGGAGGGAGAGACTGGGGAAGACCAGAGACAAGGACACGGGAAGCCATGCTCCGAAGACGGGGCAAGGAGGGGTGGCCAAGACGGTGGTGCCACAGGAGAGTCTCGTGAGACAGGAGGCGACAAGAACAGGGGGCAGACTCAGGACCTGACCGGGACGCAGCAGCAAGCACCTGACCTGACGCAGCCACCTGACCAGACGCAGGGACAGGAGGAGACTCAACGGTCAGGGTGTAGAGACTCGACCCCGGCCGACGCGAGAACGTGGCCAGGTGTCGGCCTGTGCGTGCCTCCGTGCAGTGGGTCACCCGCTGACTCGCAGGAGTGAACTGGTGAACCCCCACATCCTGCAGGTCCGCGCCACTCACCAAGTTCGTAGAGAACGAGGGAAGGTACAGACCAGACAGGGTGCCCGAAGGGGCAGCCGGACACGGGAGGACAGTGGAGAAGTGAGAGAGGACAGGACCCCCAGAGGGGTCAGCCAGGGAGACGGCAACCGGCCGGCCAAGCGGCGTAAGGGTGGTGCGGTCTCGAAAGAAGGAGCGAGAAGCCCCCGAGTCAAGTGTGAAAGTAAGGGAGGACGAGGGCGACGCAGTACCTGAGGGCGCAGTCTCACCAGTACCTGAGAGCGCAGACGCACTGGCACCTAGAGCAGCAGCCTCACAAGCACCTAGCGCAGCAGTACCAATGCCCGGGTCGGGCTGGAAACACCGGTAACCCTCAGTCTCCTCACTAATAGTCACAGCATACATAGCAGCAAGGATAGCATCAAAATCAAGATCAAAGATCGCTACACCAGCCCTAAGAAGCTCATCCCAGCGAGGGATCTCACTAGCCCCGGGGAACTGCTGACGCCAAGCGTCCGTCAGGCGGCCAAAGCAGCGCTGGGTGGGGTGGGCACCCCCACACTGCTCACCCGCGCGGTCGCCGGAACGAAGGACGTAGGTGCAAGGACCAGTACCCCCACCCCTCTGACGCTGAGTGTACCACTCACGAAGCTGCTGAGGCGGAGGGATGTCCCTCGAACGCTGCTGCTGCTGCTGCTGCGAGCGCTGGCCACCACCACCGCCGCTCCGCTGCAGGGTACCACCCCGACCAGCTCCACCTCCTCCACCACCACCGCCTCCTCCGCTGCCTCCTCCGCCGCCTCCACCTCCGCCGCTGCCACCACCACCACCGCTGCCACCACCACCGCCGCCTCCGCCGCTGCTGCCACCGCCACCACCACCCCCGCCACTACTCCCGCCGCCACCCCCACTCCCTCCGCCGCCTCCGCCGCCACCGCCACCGCCCCCTCCAGCTCCACCCGCGCCCTTGCCCCCCTTGCCCTTGCCAGAGCGACGTCTCCCACTAGGGGCAGACGCCGCGCCGACCGACTCAAGACCAAGCAGGTCGGCAGCAGCAGCAGAGGCAACAGAGGGCAGCAAGGGGAAAGGAGAGCACCCCTCAAAGATGGGGGTGCGAGGGTCTCCATGAGAAGCTCCTACAGCGACTATGCTCTTCTCCGCTGCGAGGAGGGCCTTCTCGAGGAGGTCGACGGTGAGGGTGGTGGGACAGACTGCGAGAAAGTGGTCCCTGACTACGCGAAGGGAGTCAGGGAGGCGTGCGACTACGTTGTAGAGAGTGATGTACATGGGGGGGGGGGGGGGTTCTTAGCGCAGAACTCAGCAGGAAGGGCGGCGCGGTAGCAAGTGTCACTAGTGCGGAGGTGCGTAATGAGGTCAGCGACAGTGGGAAAGGCAGAGAGGTCAGGAAAGAGGTAGGGAAGCATGAGACGGCTCAGTGCAGCAGTGGAAGGGGAGGAGTAGCGCGCAACTACAGCGTCGTACAAGGTCTGAGCACTCTTGTACTGACTAAAGTGCGCGCGCTCAGAGGTAGGGAGGTGGCGACGCACAGCAAGACGTGCAGCAGCATCGCGGGTGGCCCACTGAGAGCGCACAGTGGGATCAGCATCAGCAGCAGGAGCAGGAGAGGCGCCAGAGGTAAGGTCAAAGAGAGAGGGTTTAGGCTGCGGCTGGGCCGCGTCGTAGCGGGCGGCGAGGCCGCGTCAGAGCAGGCGGCGGGGCCGCGTCAGAGGTGGCGGCGAGGCCGCGTCAGATCAGGCGGCGGGGCCGCGTCAGAGGTGGCGGCGGGGCCGCGTCAGATCAGGCAGCGGGGCCGCGTAAGAGGTGGCGGCGGGGCCGCGTCAGAGAAGGCGGCGGGGCCGCGTTAGAGTACGCGGCAGGGCCGCGTCAGAGCAGGCGGCAGGGCCGCGTCGAGCAGGTGGCGGGGCCGCTGCGTAGCTGGCGGCGGGGCCGCGATCGGGCGGCGGGGCCGCGACGTGGCGGCGGGGCCGCGATCGGGTGGCGGGGCCGCGATCAGAAGGGGTGGCGGGGCCGCGTCTGAGGGACGGCGGGGCCACGAGGGAAAGGGCGACTCGAGGGGTCGCTAAAAAAAAAAAGGTGGCGCCTCGGGGCGCGCTTCGGTGGGCCCTAGGCAACGTTCCCACAGGGAACTCGCTCTATACCATGTAAAATAAATGACCAAGAATGAAATGACTAAGTCAGAGTTGGGTACAAATACAACCCTAGAAAGCTGTACCCCATATGTGCTACCCCACTATAGCCTACAAACATGCATCAGCAATAATACTCTGACATACTATGCGAGATCTGAGCGCTTCCTTTCTCCCTTGCATTTGTACTCTATGTTCCCATACTGACCGACCTGGCCAATGCACCATTTTCCATATACATATGCATTAGATTCCTTTCGAACCTTATTAGCTCACTAGATTTATATATTTCCCACCTTCTGATCGAGTGAGACCGCTAGATTCCCTTTACTTTTTGAGAAATGAGCGTTTCCGTTCTCCTTGGCCCTACTTGCACTATAAGTGCGAAATGCCGGCCAGACTGGCCGATGCACCATTTTCTCTACACATGTGCGTTAGTTACCTTTCAAACCCTTACGTTCACTAGATGAATTTATTTCCTTCCTTCTATTTGAGTGAGACCACTAGATTCCGTGTACTATGCGAGATCTGAGCGCTTCCTTTCTCCCTGGCATTTGCACTCTAAGTTCCCATACTGACCGACCTGGCCAATGCACCATTTTCCATATACATATGCATTAGATTCCTTTCGAACCTTATTAGCTCACTAGATTTATATATTTCCCACCTCCTGATCGAGTGAGACCGCTAGATTCCCTTTACTTTTTGAGAAATGAGCGTTTCCGTTCTCCTTGGCCCTACTTGCACTATAAGTGCGAAATGCCGGCCAGACTGGCCGATGCACCATTTTCTCTACACATGTGCGTTAGTTACCATTCAAACCCTTACGTTCACTAGATGAATTTGTTTCCTACCTTCTATTTGGGTGAGACCACTAGATTCCGTGTACTATGCGAGATCTGAGCGCTTCCGTTCTCCCAGGCATTTGCACTCTAAGTTCCCATACTGACCGACCTGGCCAATGCACCATTTTCCATATACATATGCATTAGATTCCTTTCAAACCTTATTAACTCACTAGATTTATATATTTCCCACCTTCTGATTGAGTGAGACCGCTAGATTGCCACTACTTTTTGAGAAATGAGCGTTTCCGTTCTCCTTGGCCCTAGTTGTACTATAAGTGCGAAATGCCGGCCAGACTGGCCGATGCACAATTTTCTCTACACATGTGCGTTAGTTCCCTTTCAAACCCTTACGTTCACTAGATGAATATAATTCCTACTTTCTATTTGAGTGAGACCACTTGATTCCGTGTACTATGCGAGATCTGAGCGCTTCCATTCTCCCTGGCATTTGCATCTTAAGTTCCGATACTGACCGACCTGGCCAATGCACCATTTTTTCTATACATGTGCGTTGAATACATTTCAAACCTTTTTAGCTGACTAGATTTATATATTTCCCACCTTCTGATTGAGTGAGACCGTTAGATTCCCTCTACTTTTTGAGAAACGAGCGTTTCCGTTCTCTCTGGCCCCACCTGCACTATGAGTGCGAAATGCCGGCCAGACTGGCCGATGCACCATTTTCTCTACACATGTGCGTTAGTTACCTTTCAAACCATTACGTTCACTAGATGAATATATTTCCTACCTTATATTTGAGTGAGACCACTAGATTCCGTATATTATGCGAGATCTGAGCAGTTCCGTTCTCCCAGGCATTTGCACTCTAAGTTCCCATACTGACCGACCTGGCCAATGCACCACTTTCTATATACATATGCATTAGATTCCTTCTGAACCTTATAAGCTCACTAGATTTATATATTTCCCACCTTCTGATCGAGTGAGACTGCTAGATTCCCTTTACTTTCTGAGAAATGAGCGTTTCCGTTCTCCTTGGCCCTACTTGCACTATAAGTGCGAAATGCCGGCCAGACTGGCAGATGCACCATTTTCTCTACACATGTGCGTTAGATACCTTTCAAACCCTTACGTTCACTAGATGAATTTATTTCCTACCTTCTATTTGAGTGAGACCACTAGATTCTGTGTACGATGCGAGATTTGAGCGCTTTCGTTCTCCCTAGCATTTGCATTTGAAGTTCCGATACTGACTGACCTGGCCAATGCACCATTTTCTCTATACATGTGCGTTGAATACATTGCAAACCTTTTTAGCTGACTAGATTTATATATTTCCCACCTTCTGATTGAGTGAGACCGTTAGATTCCCTCTACTTTTTGAGAAACGAGCGTTTCCGTTCTCCCTGGCCCCACCTGCACTATGAGTGCGAAATGCCGGCCAGACTGGCCGATGCACCATTTTCTCTACACATGTGCGTTAGTTACCTTTCAAACCATTACGTTCACTAGATGAATATATTTCCTACTTTCGTTTTGAGTGAGACCACTTGATTCCGTGTACTATGCGAGATCTGAGCGCTTCCGTTCTCCCTGGCATTTGCATTTGAAGTTCAGATACTGACCGACCTGGCCAATGCACCATTTTCTCTATACATGTGCGTTGAATACATTTCAAACCTTTTTAGCTGACTAGAATTATATATTTCCCACCTTCTGATCGAGTGAGACCGTTAGATTCCCTCTATTTTTTGAGAAACGAGCGTTTCCGTTCTCCTGGCCCCACCTGCACTATGAGTGCGAAATGCCGGCCAGACTGGCCGATGCACCATTTTCTCTACACATGTGCGTTAGTTACCTTTCAAACCCTTACGTTCACAAGATGAATATATTTCCTACTTTCGTTTTGAGTGAGACCACTTGATTCCGTGTACTATGCGAGATCTGAGCGCTTCCGTTCTCCCTGGCATTTGCATTTTAAGTTCCGATACTGACCGACCTGGCCAATGCACCATTTTCTCTATACAAATGCGCTGAATACATTTCAAACCTTTTTAGCTGACTAGATTTATATATTTCCCACCTTCTGATCGAGTGAGACCGTTAGATTCCCTCTACTTTTTGAGAAACGAGCGTTTCCGTTCTCCCTGGCCCCACATGCACTATAAGTGCGAAATGCCGGCCGGACTGGCCGATGCACCAAGGGCATAGCGTGTGCAAAATAAAGAGAACAAGGGCCTAGCGTGTGCAAAATAAAAAGAACAAGGGCCTAGCGTGTGCAAAATTGCAAGAACAAGGGCCTAGCGTGTGCAAAATTGCAAGAACAAGGGCCTAGCGAGTGCAAAATAGCAAGATCAAGGGCCTAGCGTATGCAAAAAATCAAGAACAGGGGCCTAGCGTTCGCGAAATTGCAAGAACAAGGGCCTAGCGTGTGCAAAATGAAAAGAACAAGGGTCTAGCATGTGCAAAATTGCAAGAACAAGGGCCTATCGTGTGCAAAATAAAAAGAACAAGGGCATAGCGTGTGCAAAATAGCAAGAACAAGGGCCTAGCGTGTGCAAAATAAAAAGAACAAGGGCCTAGCGTGTGTAAAATAAAAAGAACAAGGGCCTAGCGTTTGCAAAATTGCAAGAACAAGGGCCTAGCATGTGCAAAATAGCAAGAACAAGGGCTTAGCGAGTGCAAAATAGCAAGCAAGGGCCTAGCGTGTGCAAAAACTCAAGAACAAGGGCCTAGCGTTCGCGAAATAGCAAGAACAAGGGCCTAGCGTGTGCAAAATAAAAAGAACAAGTGTCTAGCATGTGCAAAATTGCAAGAACAAGGGCCTAGCGTGTGCAAAATAAAAAGAACAAGGGCATAGCGTGTGCAAAATAGCAAGAACAAGGGCCTAGCGCGTGCAAAATAAAAAGAACAAGGGCCTAGCGTGTGCAAAATAGCAAGAACAAGGGCCTAGCGTGTGCAAAATTGCAAGAACAAGGGCCTAGCGTGTGCAGAATTGCAAGAACAAGGGCCTAGCGAGTGCAAAATAGCAAGAGCAAGGGCCTAGCGCGTGCAAAAAATCAAGAACAAGGGCCTAGCGTTCGCGAAATAGCAAGAACAAGGGCCTAGCGTGTGCAAAATAAAAAGAACAAGGGTCTAGCATGTGCAAAATTGCAAGAACAAGGGCCTAGCGTGTGCAAAATAAAAAGAACAAGGGCATAGCGTGTGCAAAATAGCAAGAACAAGGGCCTAGCATGTGCAAAATATAAGAACAAGGGCCTAGCGTGTGCAAAAAAAAAAAGAACAAGGGCCTAGCGTGTGCAAAATTGCAAGAGCAAGGGCCTAGCGTGTG